TCCTTATTCATCATTGCACTAATAAAAATGATGTTCATCTGAAAGATCTAGAGATTAGGGGACTGAAAAGTCCTACATTGATGCATGTCTAGGTGTCTGGGAGCTCCTTTGCATAAGAGAGCTTTAAATTCTAGGCAAAGACAATGTGTTGCATTTTCAAAAATAGTCTTTCAATTCCACAATATATCTGCTAAGTATTTCCATGGAGTCTTCAAATATGCTAGAATGTTTAAGATACACACTTGAAGTTCTCTTTGGAACTTTTCTGCTTCAGCGTTTGGATGTTTGTTCACATTTTCAATAATCTGTACATTCAGTCAGTCAGTTCAGTCACTCAGTCATGTCCGACTCTTTGTGACCCCATGAACTGCAGCACGCCAGGCCTCCCCATCCATCACCAACTCCCGGAGTTTACTCAAACTCATGTCCATTGAGTCGGTGATGCCATCCAGCCATCTCATCCTCTGTCGTCTCCTTCTCCTCCTGCCCCCAATCCCTCCCAGCATCAGGGTCTTTTCCAGTGAGTCAACTCTTCGCATGAGGTGGCCAAAGTACTGGAGTTTCAGCTTCAGCATCAGTCCTTCCAATGAACACCCAGGACTGATCTCCTTTAGGATGGACTGGTTGGATCTCCTTGCAGTCCAAGGGACTCTCAAGAGTCTTCTCCAACACCACAGTTCAAAAACATCAATTCTTCGGTGCTCAGCTTTCATTGATCATTATCAAATGCCTTTGATTCTACTTAAGATTTATAATCTACTTGATTTATAATCTGTTAGGCTTTCCTTTGAAGAGCTTTTCAAAAAATAACAAAGCCTTCCCCTGACAAATATGGACTTATGAACTATTAACCTTATATAACATATTCTCAGGCAGATCATCAACCTATTACCATATGATGAACCTGGTCTTGGGCAGTGATCATACGATGCTATCTAAGGAGCAAAGAGGAAGTCCTCAGTGAACAGATCATTGGCCCCAAGTCTAGTTCCCTGTCTATGGGAACAGAAACCCGGGCAGTAAGGGCTTGCTGTCCACTGTTGTCAAACATGTGATTGAAAGGCTGAGAAGGTATAGTTGCTGGAGAGTAGACAGGTGGGAAGGCGTGAAATCTCTCTCTCACTGCTCCACAGAGAAATCACTATTCACGACTGTTAACATGGCCCCCAGTGGAGCTGAGGTTCCCAAAGGGGCCTGGATTCACTTTCTCAGCCTACTAAAGTTGAAGATTCCAGGCCTACCCCATATCTATGGATTCAGATTCTCTGGAGCTGGCACCCTGGAATTGGCATTGCTGACAAGTTCCCGAGCAATTCTGATGTCCATTGAAGTTTGACTTCTGCTCTGCAGATGGCAAGTCTCACCAGAGCCTGCTAGATTTACCCGGGTTCCAAAGGGGGCTCTATGCCGCTTTGGGTTGAAGCTGGAAGGCACGGGGTCCGCTCCACCCCATGTGCTCAAATTCTTTGGCTGATTATCCAGACCTGCCCAGTGTGCCGAGAGCCACTTAATTTTTCTCAGCAATGAGCTGATGGGGGAAATAGAGATTTTCCATAATTTTGGTTATAACTCAAAATCTTAAAAGTCTGTTTTTATTTTAGCAGACAGAATTTCAGCTTAGAGCAAGGAAAAGGAGTAAAGACTTGTGTCTTAAAAAAAAGAAGTCGCAGTGATATAACAATGTCTCATAATTTTACCAAGTTTGGGTGTGATTATATCTAAATGCAAAGAATTGAATAGATGACCTCTTATTAACCCTTATCCTTAAAATCTATGTTAATTATTCTAGGAATGTATTACTGGGCTACTTAATTATTGTTGCTGATGGGACAAGATATAGAACTTATAATGAAACAATCATGCCTGATTAAAAAACAGCTCTCTAAACTAGAGATTTCTTCAAGTGTGAAAATACTTCAAGTAATTTTGATTTTTTTCATCTATTTTTGTGTCTTAATGCCTCTTGGTATCCATCTGTATATTTCAAGATCCATGATAATAGGAGCCAGGGTGTGAAAAGTTATTATTTTACTTTCCCAGATGGAAAAGGCACAGCAGGGCTGAGAGCAGAGCTGGAAACATGTTACTGCCAACAGACTGAGATAAACCCATGGTCAGTAGGCTGGCATCATGCTTTTGTACAGCATCCATCAAACACAAATCCTTTTCACTTGGGTATGTGAATCCTTGTTTAAATTTTTAATAATCTGTACATAGGTTATTATCAAATACCTTTGTATTTTATTTAAATACTTTTGGACTTTATACAGGAAAGTATTGGACTTTCCTGTATAGAGTCATTCAAAATATGTCAAAGCCTTCGTTCAACAAACATGGGCTCATGAGCCAAACGTTAACTGGTGCCAACTTTGCTGACTCAAATTGTGAGGTGTTAAGGAAAACCATTTCCCTCCCTCCACCTTATAATTTCTCATGAACATGTTCATACTTGCAGAAGTGGTTGAAAAAATAGGATAATGTACATCCATACACCCTGCCCCTCCATCCAACATTGCTGACATTTTGCCATTTTTGTGTGAACTTTTTCTCATATAAACATATTTTTTTGTCAGTGCAGTTGAACCATTTAAAAGTACAGGGCAAAGGGTTGGTGGCAGGGTATAAAGAGTTTGGGATGAACAGATATACACTACTGTATATAAAATAGATAAACAAAGACCTACTGTATAGCACAGGGAACTGTATTCAATAGCTTGTTATAACCTATAATGGAAAAGACTCTGAAAAAGGTCTCATATATATATCTATATCTATCTGCATAGGCATACTTAGATATATAAAACTGAATCACTTTGTTCTATACCTGAAACTATACATTGTAAATAAATTATACTTAGAGGATTATCCAAGAAAAAATAAAATAAAACAATAAAAATACATAACAGGCAGGCACCATGACCCTTGAACCTTAAATGTAACCCTTTAAAATAAGGACAGTCTCCTACCTAATCATCTTTGTATTTATACATAGAGGTGGGGGCCCCTGGTTGGAACCAGAATATGTGGATTTGAGGTCCTAACTCTGACACCGGCTGTCTGATCCCAGGAGAGTTGTATAGCTTCTCTTGTTCTTAGTTTTTGCTTCTGTAACTGAGGGCATTTGGACTAGACAAGTGGTTCTCCTTAGCAGAATAACCTGAGAGCCTTAAATCAATTAGTCTAGAGTGGAGCCTGGGGGTGCGCAGTTTAAAGTACTCCCAAGGTGATTCTAATATGCAGAGAGGGTAGAGAGTCATGGGACAAAGCGATCTCTGGAGATGTTGCTAGTTCTGTTTTCTGTGGTTCCGAATAGCTGTGGGCTTTACTCTCAGCCCAGGCCCCTTCGTCTGGACCCCTTCCAGGTCTAAACGCGCCTGACGTCTCCCCTGTGTTTGCTGCCTGCAGTTCCCGTGCATGTGCGGAATGCTTCACTCAAGAACCATGACGCTGGATGGGAGCTGCAGCGAGTCCGAGGCCAACAGCCTGGCCGGCTACCCGAGAAGCCATATTCTGACGGAAGAAGAAAGACAAGACAAGATAGGGGTCCACCTGGCCCTGAGCAATGAATCCAGCTCCTCCAGGAAGAAGGGGCTTTTGAAGGGCCAGGTGGGTCTTCGCATCTTCCAGAACACCCACGCCATCGACAAATACTCCCGGTTGATATTCCCAGCTTCCTACATATTTTTCAACTTGATTTATTGGTCAGTGTTTGCCTAGGGGCTCCGAACCTGTGCCTGGTGAAGGCAACTTCTAGACCCTTGGACTGTCCTGCCTGATGTGGACATCTCTGGGGTCTGGCAGGCTGCCCACACATGGACCTGCTGACCATGTCCCCCCACAGGGCAGCAGCTCCTGGGCCACCCTGAGCAGCATCCTGGCCCTTGGAGGACCCCAGGAGCCCTCCAGCTGCCCTTCCCAGACCTCATGGGCTTGCTCGTCATTCATGCTGTGTTGTCCCACTTCTTGCCTCTCGGGGACTGTCTTCTGTTCTTGGGTGTGAACAGTTTCATGAGAGCACCCTTCCAATAAAGAAAAGGCTCAAATGCCTCCCAGATGAATATTCTGAGACCCTTACAAAGCCTAGGATTCTGTTATGGAGGAAAGGGGGAAATGAAAGGCAAGCTTAGGGGCTTTCTTGATAGGAGACAGGAAATGAGGATTCAAAATGGAAATGAAAGAAATCTGTAAACTCTACACCTGGATTAAGTGCCTATCTAGGAAAGAAGAAAAAGGAAAACTCAGATCCCAAACAGGAAATGATTTGACCTGAGTGAGTCTGGCAACTCCCATGATTTTGCAGTATTAAGGGACATCATTCTTTCATACATCTATTCAGCCACTCATTAAATATTGAATACCCAGCCTGTGCCAGTGCTTATTTTTCTCAGCAATATGTGACAATATGCACTGAATATTGCCTACCAGGGAAACACTGCCCAAACCCATGAAGGTACAGAGTTTTTTTGGGGGGGGCTGGCCATCTGGATAGAGTTGACTCCCCATATGGCTGACCTTAGTTATTCCTCCAGAGGCTGAGCTGATAACCCTCAGCCCAAGACCCCATCGTAAATCAAACTGTTAGCCTAGACCATCTGGCATGGCTGTAGGAACAAAGACCCAGGGGAACAAAGACCCTCCTATCAGGCAGGACAGTTCAGGGGTCCAGACATTACCTCTCAAGAGCTGGAGGCCAAGGCCCATCTGTCTTTTGTCAAGGCAATCCTGTACTACACAATAATCCTTGTCAGTTCCTCATTGTCAATGTGAATAATTCTGCTTCCAGTCATTAGAAGATTCATGTAACAAACATTTAAAAACATCCCTACACTAGATATTGGGCTTCCCTGGTGGCTCACAGGGTAAAGAAGCTGCCTGCGATGCAGGAGACCTGGGTTTTATCCCTGGGTTGCAAAGATCCCCTGGAGAAGGGAATGGCAACCCACTCTAGTATTCTTGCCTGGAGAATTCCATTGACGGGGGAGCCTGATGGGCTATAGTCCATGGGGTCTCAAACACTTAGACATGACAGACTTTCACTTTTTTTCACTGCACTAGAGATAGTGGGATCCAAAGTAAGAATAAGACATAATTATATTCTCACACAGCCCTCAGAGAAAGGACTGGTCAAGGGTGTGGTAAGTGGTTATGTACACATTAAAAATGTTGCATGCAACAAAAACGGTTCAATGTGTAATGGAAGCTCTGAGGAAGGAATGATTTCCAGTGGAAGACTGAATCTCGTGGAGATAACAGCTTCTGAGCTGTTCCTTGAAGATTGGGGATCTGGAGAAGAAATGTTCATGCCAAGTGCACATGTAGAAAGCACATGCTAGATGTGGGCTTTCCAGTATGGTAGCCACTGGCCATGAACTTAAATTTATGTTAGTTAAAGTTAAAAAAACCTGAGTTCTTGCCACATGGCACTAGCCAAGTTTCAAGTGCTCTGCTCAATAGCCGTATGTGGCCAGTGGCAGCTCTATTGGATAGTGCAGTTATAACACATTTCCACAGTCACAGAAAGTCTTATTAGTGCTGCTGTGGATGGAAGGATTGGCCTGAGCAAAGACCATGAGAGAGGCAGGATGGTTTGGGATTGCAGAGTATAGAGTTTGTGGGGCAAGTCATCTTTTTTTTTTCTGGATCCTAGTTTGCGGGAAGAGGTGAGAGACGAGCTATTTCTGCAACACTGGGAGTCATGGCAGGTCCCCCAACCTCTCCCTCCACACCCAGGCTGATGGGGACAGCGTCCCCTCCATGTAGTTGCCTGGCCCAAGACCAGTGGCTCTCCCAGCCTTGTAAACAAATGCAGAATGAAGGTACATAAAGAGGGAAATTGCATGGTACAGGGCATCTGGAAATGTTTAGAGACCTTTACTGTCTGGAGACTCTCTACGCCACACTGCTGCTCAAAGAATGATAATTACATTGTCATTAAAAATACATCCTGTTTCTCTAGTTGTTGCATTTAATTCCAACACTGCTTGACTTCTGACCACGTTGTCTTCATAAATGGAAGCTCCTATAGCATGGTGGCCTGTTCACACTTAACAGAAATAAAGATGTATTTTAACTAGCTTATATAGTGAACTGGCATTCATTCTATAGCAAACAGAATTGTAAACAGCATTTTATCATGAGCCAATGACACCTTTGGATTTAGCACAGTCTTACTGCAGTGTGATAATGTGACTCTATGTGAGAAAGGTAGAAATTTAAATGAGGTAAAGAGGAGAACCGTAGGAGTGGAGAACAGGGATTAAAGAAACGTTGAGCAGAGAGTGACTCTCCCTAGAGAGGACAGATGAGTAAACATAACCGTTACCAGAGGTGCTTGGATGGTGCTTTGGTTTCACTGAATCTAAGGCACCCTCAAATGTAAGATGCCCCATAGTTTATGAACCACTGAGAGGAAAAAATGCTGCTAGTTAAATTATAGCAGTCAGCGATTATAGGATGAATCCCGACTTCACCGATGTTAAATTGTAAAACGTGTGCATGCTGGAATAAAAGAAATAGGTATTATACAAAAACTGATGATCAGACATGCTTCTTGGACACCAAGGAGACATTTATCGGCACTTATCTTCAAGGCCTTATGCCCAGGTGGGGGATGGGGTGGTACCTGGGGTGGTAGCAGATAAAGAAATGAATGGGAGACTCCTTTTAGTCACTAAGAAACTTACACTGGGGAATTCCCTGAAGGTCCAGGGGTTAGGACTTGCTGCTTTCACTGCTGAGGCCCAGGTTCAATCCCTGGTGAGGGAACTAAAATCCCACAAGGCTATGCAGAGTGACAAAAAAAAAAGAAAGACAAAAGATAACAAAGTTCACACTCATAATAGGCATGGTTTAAAATGGTCCAAAGGAGGCAGACATTACAGATTCTGCTGTTTATGGTAAATTTTGAGCAATGGCTAGATATAATTTCAACTAATAGGAAAGGAGGGAAGGGAATATTAACATGGCAGAAGGAAAGCTTGGGTGTGTTCAGGGAGCAAGCACTCCACCAAATGTAACAAAGTCTTGGGTTTGCATCCTAGCAGTTCCAGGACCTCAGTGTCAAGGGTCCTTCTAGGTTCATTCCACTTAGAATAAACCTGGGGAAGAAATCAGATGGGTCTTGTCTGTACCCACGAATGTCAAAGAAAATCAGAGCTCTGGGTTGTAAGCAAGTTTAGAAAATTAGGACTCTTCAAAACCAGTTTGATTTTGTTCTTTCTTCTGCAGAAGGGAAACTATGAATTTAAAAAATGGAAAGCTGCTGAGTTTCAGGGAACCAATGAGGCAGGAAAATAATGATGATGATAGTGGAAAAAGTTCATGTTAAGCTCGGTGATGTTTAGAATTGCAGCCTGTGTGCTGACATTGACTTAGACCAGGCAGCCAGAGGGAGAAGCTAGTCCAGTGGAAGGTGAGGAGTCGGTCTGGCAGGCAAGCGGAGATGTCAAGTAAAAACTTACAAAGGCTGGTCTAGGGCTGAAGGGAATAAAGATTTGGGACTATCATCCCAGATGTGCTCAAGGAAGTTCTATCAAGGGGAACAAAACTCCTCAGAAGAAAAGCGGAAGAGAGGAGGTCTGGAGATAAAACCTCAGGAGTACTTATTTAGGTGGGAAGAGGAATGCTGATCAGAGAAATAGAAGAACCTAAGCTGGGTCCACAGATCTGGTAACCAGGTTATAAACACCATCCTCGGACCACTTCCACTAACTCCAACTGAAGAGTTTGAGGAACCCACTATTAGGACCACAACCCTCATCCAGGCCAGGTATGCCATAGTGTTCTTTTGAAGTCCTCCAAGAAAACAAGAGTCTAAAACCATCTCCTATTGTAAATAGCGGTTCTCTGAACATTTTTCCTTCTACCTACATAGAAGGATACAGTCACAGATACAGTAAGAAGGATTACTCTCAAGTGGGGGAGGGGAGGGCTGGGGACAAATAATAGCATAAAAATTGAGAAGGGTAAAGGCTGTGAACAAGCGAGGCAAGATGGAAGCCAGAGGCCAGATGGGATCAGTCATGCACGTAGGGGACTTCTCTGGTTTCCAGTGGTTAAGACTCCATGCTCCCAATGCAGGGTGCACAGGTTCAATCCCTGGTCCCGGGAACTAAGATCCTACATGCCACAACTAAAGATCCCACTTGCCCTGATGAAGACCTGGCGCAGCCAAATAAACAACTAATTTTAAAAAATCGTGCAGATAGATGATGGCCTTCCTTGGCAAAGAAGAGGAACCATTCTCTCAAGTACAAAAGGTTTATGTATGTAGAAGGAAAAATGTTCAGAGAACTGCTCTTTACAATAGGAGATGGTTTTATAGACTCTCTGTTTTCTTGGAGGACTTCAAAAGAACACTATGGCATACCTGGCCTGGATGAGGGTTGTGGTTTTAATGGTGGGTTCTCCAAACTCTTCCGTTGGAGTTGGTGGAGGTGGTCCAAGGGTGGTGTCTATAACCTGATTACCGGGTCTGTGGACCCAGCTTGGGAAGCAGCAGTTTTGAGTGGTTGAGACTCTGCACTTCCTCTGCAGACGAGTGTAGGTTCGACCCCTGGTGGGGAAGCTAGGATCCCAGTGCCTCTGGGCAGGGCAGCTGCACTGTGTAAAAGGAGCGTGGGGTGCACTCTCTGCTCCAAAGAGCACGCAGTGAGAGATGGCTGTGTGGCCCCTAATTCATCTCTCACTTCAACCTCACGGGGGTCTTAGGGATTTTCATCCTACACGCTGACTGAAATGTGCTATCTTCCATAATTGTGTTCAACCCATCAGGTAGGTGGATCTGCATGAAACAATTCATTGCTCATAGTATTTTCAGGCAAAAAAGTGATGTATTTCTTTACTTAGAGAAGCGACTGAAAAAAAAACCAAACCCAAACTGGCCTGGGTTGTGCTGAAACATATTTGCCTGGAGTTATCCTAACAGCCAGTTGGAATTCAGAGTTACACTAGGACTCAGGCTTAGCTCCTTGAGACCAGAAGCTAAGCTGTGGGACCAACAGCCATTCAGAGCAGTCTACACGTCCCCAACCTTCTACCCCTGACCCCACACCGATCACTAAGAAACTTGACGCAAGTTAAAATGGCACCCACAGGGAAGGCTGTGTGCCCAGCACGTGTCGGAGGGCGAGAGCACTGGCCTATTTGCCCTGAGAGCTAAATCCCATGCCAGAGGGACCTATGTCCCAGCATGTCCAACCTCCAGAGCTATCTGAGGGCAATCCACACCTGTAGTATAAAGATACTCTCCATCAGCGGATTCATTAAAATACTCAGTCCTCACTTTCAGACCTGCAGATGTCATCATGACATGGCATGTGGGTCAACTTTGAGAATACTAGGTTTGGGATTTATTTTAAAAGATAAATTGAAAAACCAACTTCAGGTGTAGTACGTCACGTTGAAACAAAACTGAGCAGGTTTATTGGCGAGTGCTCTTTAGTCCATTTAGCCCAAGGTATCTCACATTAAACGTGCCTATTAATAACCTGCAGACCTTGTTAAAATGCAGGTTCTCATTTAGTAGGTTTGGGAGGGGACCTTGGCTTATGCGTTTCTTTCATTCTTTTTAAGAAATTTTTATTTGGCTGAGCCGTGTCTTAGCTGGGGCAGGTGGGATCTTAGTTCCCCAGTCAGGAATTGAACCAGGCCCCCCGCATTGGGAGTGCATAGTGTGAGCCACTGGACCGCCAGAAAAGTTCCAGGATTATGTGTTTCTAACAAGCGGCCTGGAGATGTCAGTGCTGCTGGCCTGCAGACCACATCTTAAGCAGGGAGGCCCTAGAGATCCCCCTCATTATTTAAAGTTAAGCTCAGATGTCACCTCCCCTTTGTGACTTTCCCTTACATCCTCTCCCTTCCCAAGGCATAACTTACCTTTAACTCATCTATATTCCCAAAGCCTGTTACACATTCGTGCACTGAGGCGTTTCCGTGATGTTCTGATGATTCTCCTCAATCCATGCTTCCCAGGCTTGGATTAGTCGCCTGGCAAGCTGTTGAGAAAGTCTCAGTGCCTGAGCCCCACTCCCAGAGTTCATGATTTTCCTATAATCCCAACTCTCTTTTTGGTGGTGGTTGTTCTTAATAACAGTAACTCTTCTTAAAAGGCTGGTACCAAAGTCTGAAATAAATTGCGGGGAGGGGAGAGTTGTGCATGGTTTGCAAACTGTGTTTCCTGGAACCCAAGAGGTTCCCTGGGGGTTGTTTCAGGGTCTACTCTTGGAGTGGGAGCTGCTGAAGTAGGGTTTAGAAGAGGTAAGAGGTGAAGATGGCAAGATATAAGCCAGAAATAGAACTGGGACTTCTGGCCCCCAAACCTTTTCACGTTTAC